GTCCTGCCTCTTGGACAGGTACTTGCAGCTGGAAACTTTCACAGCTGAAATGTTGAGCTGGTCTTGTTAAGTAACATATTGGAAAGCTGGAGAGCCTTTGGTGCCAGCGTACTGGGCTATTCACTGTTACGTCTGGGGCGTATCATCTGACTGTCTAGAGCAGTGGCTCTCAACCATGGAGCTTTTCAAGGTCCTTTCAGGGAGGGATCTTGTCAGGGTGTCACAAGATTTGCACATGTAGGGAGTGGCCACACGACTGTGGACGTTTGGTTCTTTGGGCACAAGTAGTGGCGGTGCAAGGTGCACCGCCACTTCTTATCCCCCGGAGAACGCCTATGCCATGTGCTTTGGCACGTGGCAAGTTGCCCCGGGTGGTGTAAGGGAAGCTGGGGCCAGCACTGTGCAGCCTTACCTAGGGTCCTGGGGGCCTCCCGGAGCTGCAGCCGCAACGATCCTACCAGGCAAAGCCTGGCTGGCAGCTGCGGCACGGCTCCGAGCAGCTCAGCTCTGCTTTTTAGCAGTGCGTGCTGCCCAACCATGCACTGCTTGATTTTTTTTTCCTTTTTTGACTCCAGGGGTTAAAAAAAAAAATAATAATAATGCAGGAAAAAATAAAAGAGCAGCATGTGCTTGGGCAGTGTGCCCTTGCAGCGCGGAGGACTCCAGACTGTGCGGTATATGGCGCTGGCAGTGCCATGTACTGCATGGCCGCACTTATCTGGATGCCCCCCTAATGATTTGTAAGATAATCCAACAATTCAAATAGAAAGCCATGGTATGTAAAAATAAATAAATAAATACATAAAATAAAAAATTCTGACCAGTTGTGGTCTTTCTGAGTGCTTTGTAACAGAAAAAGCGATGTATTACTTTTCCATAGTTAAAAACAAACAGTAAAAACTAAGAGCTGGCATTTTCTGAGGGTTGCCTTAAGCCTAACAAGGGGTGTCGTGAATCTAAAACATTGAGAACCATTTTCTAGAGACTAAATTGAGAGCAGGGGTCTAATGGTGTAGGCACAGTCATGCACATAACGAGAGATGGACATTTTCTAATGAGGCATGGTGTTATTCCCATTTTATAGAAGTATAGGGAAAAACTAAGGAACTTGTCCAGTCACACAGAGAACATTTGTGGTAGCATCAGGACTTGAACCCAGTTCTCCTGAGTGCTTGTCTAAGCTCCAGGATGATCGTGCCCTGATGAGAGCTGGGCAAAATGCTTTGATTAAATATGGTACTGTACTTGCCAAAATAGACAGATTTGGACAAACTGAAGAATTTGCAAAACTCTGGGGAGGAATCTAAAAAACTCAACTCAAAGTATTTGGTTTCAGTGGTTTGGATTTTCATTTTGAAATGATGTGTTGAGACTAAATTGACTTAAATTTAATTAAAACCAAATGTTTATCCTCCCCCTACAAACAAACCCTCCAAACACTAACAACCCTATCATTTCAAGTTAAAGAACTACTAAACCCTTTTTTATTTTCAGTGTTTGGTTTTCTTGGTTTGGGGGGGGAGGGGGGGTGGGGTTGTGATTTTTTTTTTGTTTTGCTGAGAAAAGGGGGGGAAATCCATTTTTGGTTATTTTTTGTTAGAAAGTGAGGCCCTGATATTTGTGCTGCTCTGCTGCCAATCCACTCTGAACATCTGAACTAAAACTCTGAACTTTTTACAGTGCTTAATGACAGTTTTAGCTGCCTTAAACCTCCCGTCTCTTGAGACTTTTGTTCCCCCCAGGGGAGATAGATGTTCAAGGCCTGCTTCCCCCCCTCCTTATCTGTCACGGATCTGCCTGAGCCTCAGCACGGCAGCACTTCTGAGCCCTTCATATTCTTCTAGCAACGTGACAGGCGCTTCTCCAAGCGAGGGCTACACCCCGCGCAGTGCAATGCAGTGGTGGAGCAGGTGTCCTGCCTCACACTTGACTGTTCTTTGCAGCAGGCTTGCTGACTGTGCCTGCTCTTCTTGATGTGAATGGGAGCCAGGGACTGGAATAGCAACCACTGGAAATGAAGGCAGTCTCCGTTCTTTAATTTTCCATGCATGGTAACAGCATGCCCATATCATTAATGAGGCCAGCCATGGGCCTGCCAGTGGGATCCAAGCAGGGGCCTCACTTAATAGGCCCCAAGAGATGGGGGCCGACCACTTTCTCTGACAGAATACAAAGAACTTATCTGGACCGTTATCTGTATCATTGACACTAAGTGAAATAACTCCTTGGAAAACTTCAGCATTAGCATTTAAGGATGAAGAATAGTTACAATTAGGCTGGAAGCAGCAGCGTGCTGGTGCCCCCAAGTCCCTCCTTCATGCATCTTCCCACCCGGCGTCATTCAGGTTCATTGCCCTTGCCTGTTTCAAAGCTCCCTCGGCTGAAAGGGAGCTCTCGCGCTTTCGCAAGGCTGGGGGGAGAAAAGCAAGTCTCCTGAGATCTCCGCGTTGAGAGCGCAAGTTTGGAAGCGCCCACGCGGAGAGGGCGATGGCGCCTGCCTAGCGCAGCTTCCCGTTGCTTTCCACTGGTCTCTGCTACCGAGGAAAGAATAGGGAATTAGGAGTGGAATCTCATTACCATGAACTTCAAGAGGGAGGCTGGGTTATTGCATTGTACTGAGACATTGTTTAAAAATTGCTCATAGTTTATTAGGATTAGAGCAATGCTGAATTTTTTTTTTCCACGTCTCCTTTGTTCCAGCCAGAATCTGCCAGCGCTTCTACCACTTTCATCTTTTCTCCCTGTGTGGACTGTTTCTCCTCGCCCTAACAAGTAGCTCTGCGGTATATTTATTAGCGTTGTGTTTGTAACATGTTAGTCTTAGGTGTTTTGTGTTTGTTGTAATGAGAGCCTATTATGCATGCAACAACTAAAAAAAAAAACCCCAACAACCCTGGTTATACTGGGTTTTTTTTGTGTTTTTTTTTTTTTTGTAGTAAGAGATTTTGTATTAATGAGATCTACTTAGCACTATTATTTGGGCCATCAGCCCAGCTTGGAAATATCTCCTTTGCACTGAAATTTTCATTGCAACAGATTTCCTAGAACCAGACAGGATATCAGACAGGATATCAAGGGTCGTTCTTGTCCAACTGCTACATGGAGGCAGGATGCGCTAGTCCTGGACCAAACACATGCTTCTCCAGCATCGTCTTGAAACCCGCCTGGAGATTTCACAGCTTCCTTGGGCAGCTCAGTCCATTTCCATTGCTCTCCTGCTCTGACAGTTAGGAAGTTTTTTCCTGAGGTTTGATCTCAATCTTCTTTGCTGCAGTTCAAACTCCTTGCCTTGTGCCCTGCCCTCTGCGGCGGAGGAAACGATTTTCCTCTGCTTTCTTTATGGCAAACTTTTTGCATGTTTGAAAGCATCTATCATGCCCCTTCCGGTTTTCTTCTCTCCAGACTAAACCTTCATCTTGAGATTGCACCTGTAGTCCCAGCGGTGAACAACCGTGGTGGAGAGTAAAGTGGGGAGTGGTTATGTTTATGGCGAAATACTTACCGTTGGTTTTGTGCCATCTGAGATGAAAGCCCCAGTTTCATGGAGCTGATAAACTGAACAGGGCACACTCAGATAGATGAGCTGCATTACGGTTCCTGGAGGGATTAGCACTAAGTGGGATGGAAAGTAACGTCTAGACAAGACAACCTGGTTTCCCTTTTTGTCCCCTGCCAAGTTTGTTAGCAGAGTAACAGGCTGATGGATTTGCTCTACAGAGAAACAGTTTGGATGTGACCCTGCAGGAAGCCCGTCAGCTCTAGGTGTTTGCAGTTGGCACAGATAATAAAACATCACCCCTTGCAACTACAAACATGGTCCCTTGGAGTGACTGACGGGTGTCTTGAAAATATTCAGCACTTGATGCCCCCCAGTCCTGAACCCTCTCCTACACTTCCCAGCAGATAGAAGCAGAGAGGTTCATCACTTGGATTCTGGTTTCAAGCACATCACAAATTAGGTAATTATCAAAATAAGGCTGCTTTGGGCTAATTTCATGTCTCAGAGTGTCTGAATGTTTGGATCGGCTTGTGATTCGAGCACAACTTATAAGTGATGAGTTCCCCCAGAACGCAAATTGTTTTGGGGTGCCGGGGCGATGAGCTTTTCCCATGCCAGTGCTGTGCAGATTAGTAGATGTAGTGGCTTTGAGCTCTGCACAACCTCACCTTGTGAATTTGGGGACCGGCTTTTCTTTGAGATGGATTCAAGCAGGCTTAGATTTCCACATACAAACATTTCCCACTGCTAAATATTAGCCAGGCAAAACCAAAGAGATGAAAAAGGTTATTTCCAACTCATCTGACACATTTTTTTTCTCCCTGCTTTACAGCAGAGCAGTTCCTTCGGAGATGGATATGGAGCCTTCAGGAGAATGTTAATGTGGGTTTGTCTTTGTTCTTAATTAGATCCCTTCAAGGGAAAACCTCCTGGCCTGTTTTATTATCCAGCTTTGTCAGAGCTTGTCTGCTTTATCTAAACACTTTGAAGGAGTCTCTTTACCTGTTTGCTTACTGGAGACATTATCATAATCCTGGTCAATTGGAAATAAGGAGAAAAGACCACTCTGCAGATGAGGGAATGCCTGAGGCTTAGCTGTTAATAGATACCTGATTTTGAGCATGTTAGAGAATTAGGCAGGGCAGGGCTAGGATTTTGGGGGCCATCACCATTTGCATGTGAAAGACTGATTGTCAGTACAGGGGAGGGGAGAACAGCAGCACCAGGTTCAGCAAAACCTCAGTGTACAAACTCCTTCAAACCTCAGTGTACAAACTCCCAGCCCAGACTCAGAATAAAGTACATTTGATTATACGGGTTCATATGAATCAAAGCCAAATAGGTGTGAAATCTGCCTGCGCCAAGCCTTAGCACTCTGTAAGGGACATCTCTCTGTCAAGCCGTTTTTCTGATGAATTTTTTACACTGTCCCCCTGGTGCAAAGTAAGTGCAAGCTCCTGATATTCTGATTCAGCAGCACTTTGACTCGGTTTGCGCTACCATGACTGACAACACAAGGTGCGGGGAAATAGAAGATCGGGCCTTGACTTGCATCCAGTGCTAAGGGACTAGAGCAAGCCGAAGCTCACAGCCTGCCCTCCTCTGACCCAAACTGTATCATGCCGGCCCGCAGTCTGAAAAGGCTACCGAAACCCCCCTGGAGTTGAGCACAAGTGATTAAATGCACTATACATTAGGGACCACGAGAGGGAGCTGAAGGAAGGGCTCTTAGGAAGATAAGGGTGAAAAGGTGGAGCTGTTCATGGTCTTTTGTAAATTTGTCACCAGTCGGTCCCCACAGACTGATCATGTCTAAAGCAAGTATGCTCCTGACCCTTCAGAGAGAAAGTCCTGATGGAGACCTGTCTTTAGTGGTTGCCTTTTGTATGCGTGTAAAAGCAGCCTTCGTCCTAGTGGAACGGGCATTTCGAGGAGAGGGTAGATTAACGGAAGTGCCCTGATTGACCATCAGCAGTGGTCAATCACTCCTTACCTAGGCACACCCCTCACTGCTTTCCATGGGTGCCTTCTGTCCGAGAAGGTATGCAGGTCGTAGCCCGTATTGCTCTAGAGGAAGAAGCAATCAGGACTCACGGTAGAGGTGATATCTTTTATTAGATCAACTAAATTAAAACAAAAAAATCTTTAATTGCAAGCTTTCGGGCACAAACACGCTTCTTCAGGCATTGGGGAAAAGATTGTAAATGCTCTCCTGGGTAGAAATGAAAGTTCATATTTCATAGGAGAGTTTGGAGATTTTACTACACCTTCAACTCTCCTATGAAATATGAACTTTCCTTTCTACCCAGGAGAGCTTCTACAATCTTTTCTCCGATGCCTGAAGGAGGGTGTTTGTGCCTGAAAGCTGGCAATTAAAGATTTATTTTTTTTTTTTGGGTGCAAAAATCTAGTTGGTCTAATAAAAGTGATCACCTCTACCACGAGTCCGAATTGCTTTGTTCTGGCCAAGAAAGCACCTCCAAGAACAAATCTGTGCAGACTGTTCCCAGCAAAACTCAGCCTCTCAAAGCTCCTCCCATTCCCTGCAAACTCAAACCCAGCTCTGGTTGCTCCAGAGCTTCAGTGAGTCCCAGACGCAGACAGGCTGTGGTTTTGTTTCAGGGCAAGTGTTTTACTCATATCTTGCTCAGAATGCATCCCACACGCGCGGGGAAGGGCTAGCAGGTCCATGAAGTCCTACCGTGCAGTCCAGTGGTCCCAGTCCTGACCTGGCCTGTGCTGCTTTTTCACCAGAGGAGCTCCGCTGTGGCTCCTGAATTGCACCGGCAGAAGTGAGATCAGGAATCAGGCTTAACAACTGTGAAATACTAGAAGAGCTGGCACCGCGAGAGGTGGGTATTCTGCTCCCTGTTACGTGGGTTTGATGCTGTTTGGAAAATTCACCCACAGTTTAGGTGACAGCATTTGAACTTCAGCAAAACCACAGTGGATGAATCCGTACTGTCACTTCAAACCAGAGTCCTTGTACTTCACCCCTAATGAGGGGACCAGATAGTACCTTGAAGGGCTTTATACTAGATATTTATATGAGCACAGACATACAAGTTGTCTGTTTTACATATTACTGCCCTGATTTTCCAGTGCACGCAATGAATAATTTACAGAAAACGTGTGTAAGTATCTCTTTATTATTCATTATAATGAACTGAGACAGGAGTAATAGTCCACTAGACTGGAATCCCCTAGGGCTCAACTTAACTAGGCTGCGCTTAGCTCTCCCACAGCTCATTTGAATGAAAGGAAGGGTTCTGCTCCCTGATGCTGGGATGCAGCACACGGCCACAGCGTGGTGGGAGAAAAGGGGGGTGCCTTGGATTCCAGCCCATCTTTAGTGTCTGGGATGGGCTCCCACTGAGTTTGCAGCCCCGATTTGAGGTTTGGGGCTGGCTCTTCCCGGCTGATCCTGCAATGTGCCGAGGGGCTCTTGAGAAGTACTGAGTGCTCTCCATGCCTGTTGACGTCAGGGAGAGTCACGGCAGCTCTGCAGCTTGCAGGAGCTTAGCTTGTGGATTAAGAGAGCGGAGCAGCCTGGGCTGAATGAAGCGAGGCCGGCAGAGCTGCGCTGGCGGAGATCTGTAAGGCCCGTGGTTGCCCCTACAGGTCAAGTGCATTGGTGGAATGATATGGCGAACCCTGCCTGTTTGGAATCAAGTGCACGGTCAGAGCAGTGTCAGGGGAATCCCTGTTTCCATTTGATTTTTAAAAGCACTCAAAATATTTTGATTCAGGACTTTCTGCCTTTGGAAAGGGAGGGGGAAAGCATCCTCTTTGCTGTGGTCGGCAGCCCCTCGATAATAGCATAGTGGCTCCTTCTGGAATGGGGGGACTGCTGCTTTTGCCACCGTTCAGGGGCTTCAGGAGCAGAAGTTTGTGTTGTTGGAGAAACAGTAATGTGTTTAAAATATGGCAGCCTCGTGGGGTGCAGGTAATAACATGCCAAGCCCAAAGGACCATCCGTCTTCCTAGGAGTCCCTGCTTGACATGGCTAGTGGAGACATACAGCCACTTCAGGGGGGAAATTATTTGTTTAAGGGAGAATATATCTGTCATTTCCCTGAATCGAGTGCCCATGGGGGCAGTGAAGCATGCTTAATAGACTCCCACCCCCACACCCCCAATAATATTGCTGATGGAGTCGACACTCTGCAGACATGGCATGGGAGGCATATAACATTTCTGAAGCTTCAGTGCGAGAGGCACGGCTCTGCCCTCCCGCCCCATCTGGCAGCCGAGGCGAGCCGGAGGAAATATCTGGGAAGGTGCCACTGTGGACATGCGAGCTAGCATAGCGAGGCATGGCTGAAGCATTGCAGCAGTGAGACATGCAGATACTGCCTGGTGCCTATGCTGCAAATTCCTCCTACTTCACGTACGCGTGCACTGCAAACCCAGAGAACAACAAGAGGCATGCAGGGCATTTCTTATCCAGTGTGCAAAAGCAGTAGCAAACCCTGGAGCACTGCGTTTCCTGGGGAATAGTAGCCACTGCTTAGACTACCAGCGTGGCTTTTTGGCAAAGGATCATGTAGACTCAGGTTAATATCTGCCACAGCCTCTGATGGGCAATGCAATCCAGTGGCAAGGGGCTGAATATGATTATTAGTTAATATATTTATTCCCCATGGAAGGATAGTGCTATGAGCTATCTTGGGAGAATAGGTTCAACTCTCAGCTCTGTGGCAAAGCTGAACGTGGCCTTGAACAAGTCGGCGCTCCCCCGCGTGCCTCAGTTCTCTGTCTGTACGGTGAGGATTCTCAGACTCCCATTCTTACATCCTTTGTCTCTCTTGTCTGTAAAGTCTTTAGAGTAGGGAGTGTTCCTTAACACGTGCATGTACAGTGCCTTGATCTCAGCTCTGTCCTGTAGGCACTACTGCAGTGTGCACACAATCATTGCTGTCGTCATGGCACTTCTCTTGTTTGTACCTTGATTTCCCCAACTGTAGAACAGGTATCACATGGACCTACCTTGTAGAGAGACTTGCAAGGGTTGGATTTTTAACATGGGGAAAGCCCTTTAAAATCCTTAAAAAGGGATAATGTTGTAGAAGGACGAAGCATTAGTGCTGCCGCTTGCAGTACCCAGGTAATGATCTGCAGTTTTGCTTTATCACAGCAAAGCCTGCTCTGTCTATGGAGGTCTTCAGGAAGAAAGAGGATACTCCGGAGAAACACTGGGCTCTTAATTTCACCAAATGCACGACAGTTTTTTTCTGTGGGTGCTGTTGAGCTAGGCAGGCCTGGGAGTAAATGCATCAAGATAATCTATCAAATGGAATTAAAAAGGCATGTGCTCCGGGAACATTTTAATTCCATTTTTTTTCCCCCTCTGTTCTTTGCCAAGTGTAACTAACCGCTCTGAACTGTCGCTCTGAAGCTTTCCAATATCTCGTGGCAGGAGCAGGCAGGGCAGGAGCCAGACAGGAAATAAATAATTGAAATGACTGTGTTGTGTTTTCAAGGCACTTGTAGGATGTACAGCGGCTTTGCCAAATGCCCCCCTCTTCCTCCTCGTTCTCCTGTTTCCCTTCTTCTTCTGCCCCTCCTTGGTTCCCATTCTTGTGCTGAGGCTGTTCCCTTGTCCTGGAGTGGCTGTATATATATCACACCAGGGATGGCTGGAGGGCCATGCTGACAAGCTGAACTGTCATCAAATTTTACAGCTTCATCTAAAATGTCCTATGTGTCGCAAGGGTAGCGGAGTGGGTCATGGCGGGGGTGAGTGGAGCTGTAGGAGGTGACGTATGGAGAGTCTTTGTGGGCTTTCAAAGGACATACTTAATGTGGCTCCCCACAAAAGGTGACACTTTCTTTCAGGAGAACACCTGAAATTTTCTCCAAAGCTTCAAAGCACAGTGTGGCATTTCCAAGACCATCCTAGTGTCTTAAAATACGTCTAAGACATGATAGAACAGGGCTAGAAAGGGACCTTGCATAATACCCTCCTTAAAAGGGTGGGGGAGGGTATTATGCAAGGTATAATATTCCTTATTATTATTATTATAATACAGGGTATTCCTGATGTGGAGCTAGGAACTGAAAATGAGCGGCCGTTTAAATGTCCCTTGGGGGGGAAAATCCTGTGGAATGGTACTATGTCTAGCCAGGGTACCACTGTTCATGGACATGGTCGTCTTCTGGGATCCAGGTTTGTGGTTCATGAGCATTTATAATAATGATAACAACTGCAGTAATAATATTAGAGTTATATATTAAATGCAAACTCATTGTTCCGAGTCCCTGTTCCTGCACCTCTGTTGCACCGTCCAGGATGTTTCCCCTACAGCAGAACGAGCTGCCAGAGCCAAGCAGTGAGCCAGCTGCACCCTTCAGAGACACTGCTGGCAGCTCTTTGTGTTCATTGTACTGGCCTGCATGTCTGACGCTCTGTCCCTCTCTCTGTAGGTGTACTGTGGATGACAGGGTCACGCGGGTAGCTTGGTTGAACCGCAGCACCATCCTGTATGCTGGAAATGACAAGTGGTCTATAGACAACCGAGTGGTCATCCTCTCCAACACCAAAACCCAGTACAGCATCAAGATCCATAATGTGGACGTGTATGACGAGGGCCCCTACACCTGCTCTGTGCAGACAGACAATCATCCAAAGACATCGCGGGTACATCTCATCGTGCAAGGTAAGGCTCAGCTCTGCCTGATGAGAAGAAAACTTTTATGCTGAAGGGACCCAGGGCTTCCAGCAGTTACAGCTTCTGGTAGGCGCTGGTGATGCAACACAGGGGATAATTCAGACCAATGGGTCCTGCTTGTTATCTTAGATCCATAGGGGTAGAAGGGGCTACATATCTCCCCAAGCCTCTTGCATAGATGCAGGATTGAATCTTGTTTGGGGATTGAAATATGGACCTCTGGCTGCCATCCCAGCCTTCTGTAGTCGGATGTGGGCCTATGCGCTCTGATGATGACTCCATGCTCTTCCCTTTTGGGGTGTTTTGAATATGGGCCAACTGGTGACTCAGCTAATTAGACATTTGCATCAGAACACCTTACTAGGGTTCTTGCTTCTTCTAGTTATGAATTGAACCCATGGTTAGAGCTTGTTAGCTAGGCACACTGCTGGCAAAGGAAAGAACCCAGGGTTCGGAAATGTTGGTGGTTACCAACTTAGCTGGGGACTGATCTGATCTCAGCTACTTGTTCCCATGTCTTTCCTTTAGGAGAAAGCAAGAATGGCAAACCAGAGCACGTTTTGAAGGTGTCATAGGTATTAGAAGTGCCAGCAGGTAGTGTCAGTTCTGGCTTTCCTGTCTGCTAGTGGGGCTCAGTTCCAGAGGAACAGAGGATTCTTAGCATTGGAAGTAAAGCCTCCTTGGCACCTTAGTGGCCTTGACAGCAGAGTTATCTTCTTCGGGAAATGCAGTGCTGAAATAAAAGAACTGTCAGGTACTGTAGAGGAACAGACTTGAACAGAACAAGGCTATCAGTTTCCGGGAAAGACAGATTGTGTAAGTATGTCAAAGTCAATACGGGCCATAAAGGGTTTTTGGCACAGAGCTTCAGTGGATAATGCTGTTAGAGAAATGCCTTGGCAAGTAACAGAAGCTGTTGGGTTGAAAAGTGGGAGTCCCTGAGTCTCTTCAGACAGAAGGATCGCAGAGCTTTCAGATCTGAGGACAGACCAGGCGGGCTTGAGCAAGTCTCTCTTTGAGGGAGCTCCATTCGGTTGGGATGTTTGATCCCAATTGGAAGGGTCTGAATGTTCCTGATGGGGAACCCGATGGATAACGAGAATTGCATGCTAAGCTGTAGGGCTGTGCAAAGCTTCGGTCCCTAATTCGATTCGGCAGAGATTCAGTGGCCGAATCTCCAAATCCGAATAGAATCGGAGGACCCTTTAATCTGTCTGAATCGATTCGGACATAGGCACAGCTTTAAATGTTTTTTCTACATACCTCAAGGTACCAGGTGGCTCATGAATGCTGGTGGTGGGACAGATGCAGTATCCCACAGAAGCATGGGGGGGGGGACCCAGAAGTGGACCAGAAGCACTTCCAGTCTCATAATGGGTCTGCCAGGGAGCACATAGGGCCTCCCTTCCCCCCCTGCACCCTCCCATCTCAGTGACTGATGCCTCCTGGGTCTGGGGGAGGCACTCGGGATCCCCCCACAGCCGATCCCCGAGCTGGAGGTGGCACGGGGGGGCCTCCCAGCACGCTCGCTGGCAGACCCGAAAGTGGACCGCCGAGCATGTGGAGGGCCCCCCTGCGCTCCTGTGGGACACTCCATCCACCCCAGCATCACAGTGATCACGAGCTGCCTGGTACCTCAAGGTATGTAGAAAAAACATTTAAAGCCATGTCTGCGTCCAAATCGCTGATTTTCTGAATTGGCATCGAATCCTCAGATTTGGATTTGGCCGAATCGAATCGGGGACAGCGATCCAAATCTACTAATGAAATCACTGTCTCTGGTTCAGGCCAAATCCAAATCGAATATGTCCTGTTTTGCATACCTCTACTAAGCTGACATAGTCCCAAAAGGCCCGCAGCTGTGTGATGGAGTCTTATATTCACCTTGCATAAATGGGTCAGGAAGCTAACATCTTTATAGTAAGCGGAGCTGGCTGAACATTAGGGGAGTTTTCACAAATATATAATTTTTGAGGGGAAGATCCACAAATTCATCAGCAACATTTTCCTCAAAGAACAGTGCAACAAAATCTGCCCCTGAGAGGGGGTCTTGTTTTTCCTCTGCAGTCTCAGCATTGTTCACATTTCCCCCATTACCCACCCACCCACTTCAATTAGAAAGTAACTCCAGATCCCTGCTTCTTTGCAACAGCTATCGGCTTTTGTCCAGTGTATAGATTAATTTTTCAGAGTTAGTGTTAGTTCAGGTTAGATAAAGATAATGAAAGTTTCCTAATCCTCTTAAAGAAGATTTATCTGGCTGAGTAGAAAGCTCTCAGAATACAATAAGGCATGTATAAAACCAGGACCTAATCTTTCCTTTAATTTCAAACAGCTGATGGGTATTGATTTTGCAATGAACAAATCTGACAAATTTCTGTGCCCCAACTTGTCTCTTTAAAAAAAAAAAAAAAATTCTACACTTTATTTATCCTCTCTCCATTTGGAAATGCAAGGGTCTGATTACTACCACCAATCAGGTGTCATTAAGGAAGAGAAAAACCCATCCAAATCCCTCTTGTGCCCAGTTAATTATGTACAGACCTCAGAGACCGAGTTTGTTACTTCACCACTTGCCCAGATAGTTTTATGCTGTTTCTCGTGCCAGTTCTCTGATGAAATTTAGTGTCTTTTTCCATTTGGGACGTGCTGCAGGCTTTCCGACTTCCCAGCGTTACGCTAGAGAGGGAGAAACATTCTAGGAAAACAAAAATCAGAAGCAAACAAAAGCCAGGAACCATCCCTCCCTTTGGGGGACATTCATCCATTTCTAGATCCAAATTGAATTGAACCATCAGAAACATTTCCTTTGCTACATCTTTCATTTTTACGTCTCTCTGCATGCCTGGGATTCCAGTTGGGTATGGAAGGCAAAGTGCTAATATTGCTGCAAAAGCCTGATCTTGCAAGATATGCAGCCTAAATTTGTGCAGCTGACAGGCGGTTCTGAGAAATGTCTGTCTATATGATCTCAATCTATTTATCTCCACTATCTTGTCTGTATCCTTCTAATCCATTCAGTAACCATCAGTGAAGTAGCTGAGCACTTTCCGCCTCATATACATTTATAAAGCTTTGTGAATGGTATCTCTTTCCC